TAATAGTTATTTAATAGTTATTTATGAACATGTCCTACCTTCTCTACTAGATTGAGAGCTCTTTCAGCTCTGTAGCCAGTCCACGTTGACCTGTGTAACCCACATTGTCTGTAGCACAATACTAGATATACCTATTCACTAAGTACTTGGGTGTTGAATTAATTTCTGTGTATATTAAGGTGTGTGTATAAACAGAAAGGGCTTCCCAGGTGGCACTAGTGGTAAAGAGCCTGCCTGACAATGCAGGAGACATATGAGATACAGGTTCAATCCCTGGGTCGGGAAGATCCCCTAGAGAGGATATGGTAACTCACTCCAGTGTTCTTGCCTAGAGAATCCCATGGACGGCGGAGCCTGGCAGGCTACAATCCATGGGGTCACAAAGAGTCAGACACGACTGAAGTGACTGAGCATGCAAGCATGCATATACAAGAAACGAAGTTCAGAACTGAGAAAACATCTATGCACATAAAGGAATTAGGAATCTTCTTAACACTTAAGTCAATTACTTTTTATAACAAAAGTACTAATGTCAGTTGCACCCAACATTGCAAAGCACATACACAGGCATCTCTTGTGCACCATAAATTGTCTGTTAAAAGTCTGAAGCTATTATTCCCATAATACACAATCATGTGTAGAGCTGGAGATACAATTTTGTCAAAATAAAAAGATTCATATCCTAAACTGTAATTTTTTAAAATACTATCTTGTGCTAAGAGCTTTATTAGAAAATAAACCAGTTACTCACCCATGGATGTTCACTGTCATTCAGCAAGAATAAAATTCTTACTGGTTTATTTCCCTGATCTTACCTTTGATTCCAAGTGTCATTCTGTTCTATGACTGATTGTCACTCTCTCATTTTTTTGGTGTTGCCTTGATTATTTAAATAAGCAAGTATTCTATTTTAAATCATAGCATCAATAGCATTATCTTAAGTTTTGAAAGAAAAAGAGCAGCACCGAAAACTGGGCTGATGACCAGTTAATTATTAAATTAGCTACTGTTATTTCACATTTCTCCAAACGACATCTAAATAGCCCTTCTGAAATTTGCTGGGAATCTGGTATACAAGTGAACCAATGACGGGAAAATTTGAAAATGCATCTGAAAGAAGAGATTTCTAAATTCTAGCTTATAAATAACAGTGAGTCACTCTTTTTTTTCCTTTAAAAAAAAGGTAGTCAATGGGCTAGAATTCTGCATCTTTAACATTTGAATTTGGGGAAATAATTTTTTTTAATTTGAGGAAAAACTGAAATCAGAAAGAATTCAAATCATCAGACTTAACATTTTTTCACTTGTCCAGTAACATGTAACCTTTTTAAACACTGATAAAGTCATCTGCAGATCTGTCCATGATACCATAATCTACTTGTCCACGGTGAAAAGAAGGATGAATCCTTTTGTTCGATATTATTTTATTGATAACTAGTGACTTTAAGCTACTCTGCCAAAAAAGTCAATATTGTTCATACACTCTTAAATAAATACCATGACGAAGGATGCTTCCTCATAAATTTGATCACATTTAGATCTTGATGCCTTAACGTTCCCCTACGTCCATATCACAGTAATCACATCAATGCAATCCACGCAAATCCAAGTCTCCACTCTCGCCCTCCATCCTGAAAAGCCCCATTCAGCAGTTTGTGCTATAGCACCATGCCGCAGCATTCCTGCACTTGAACTTGGGAACGGGCTTTCCAGGACTGCAGGCAGAGCCCTTACCGCATTCCTTCTGAACCTCATCTTGCCTCTCGGGGGAGTTGCTTCTGCCATCTCGCCTATACACAATAACACGCTTCTTTTCCAATTGTCAATGCAACATTGATGAAATATGAGCTGCGTCTTAGGTAGTATTTAAAAGCGGCAGCCAAAAATTTCTATCAAACAAAGCTACCGTGGCTGCTTCCATTACCACCCTGGCAGCGCTGCAAAAAAAAAAAAAAAAACCCACTATCTCCGATTAGTCAGCTGACAGATCCTTTCCTACTGCTCATTGTAATTCAGAGTCCACACATTCCCCCAATTACTTAGCCTGATTGAACCTCATGGATTAGCTGGTGCTGGACTGCTCAGGAAGATCAGGCTTTTCCTAAGAGTGGAGGAAGAAAAAAAAAAAAAACTGTCCTCCTAGGGGCTAGATGGGGCTGGCTTTCTCTGCGCAATTTGATTTTTAAGGTGGAATGCTAAGAATCTTTGTGAAGGTAGTATTAACTGATATCTTTATTCTTGCCCTATCCCCCTATGTAACTTGAAATTCAATTCTGTTTATTATTATTATTATTATTATTATTAAATTCTATTCTGGGTTTAAGCCTGGGAAAGGTTAATAGTTTGTGGGATTTTGTCCTGATGATAATCTAAAAAGAACAGAACATACAAACTTTCTGAGACGGGTAGGATTCTCTACCAAAGGTTCTCTACAAACATCTCTACATGTTTGTTTCCCCGAAACATGTAACTAAAATATATATATATATAGTCTCCTATCATTATGAAGTATAGCCTAACTGCATAGTTTCTTTAAGAATCTAGAAATTAAGGTCTTCAAATCGAATTATATAATTACTTCACAGACACTAGTTTAAAATAATATACCAAAGACAGTTAGACCTATCTATACAATGGCTGTTTTCACCAGAAATTCTTTCTGAACGTCAACTTTTGCTCTTGAAATTAGCTTGTATTCAATATTTATCTCTACTGCAAACTGTCCAATGGGCAAACAGTGTCCAATGGTTGAGATATAATTAACGTGCTTTTGAGTATGGGTATAGAGACTATACCATAAGCAGAAACATTTAAAATATTTAAATAAAACAATGCTGAAACTAATCTATAGCCAGTCAGATGTCCTCATCACCTGCACCCCCGCTCCTGCCTGGCAATTATGCAAATAAAGGGACCTTGGATGCAAAGCTCTTTGCTGGGCAGACTTCTCAATTCCCCACTGAGAGAGCATCCCTAGGAAACAGAAAGGGGAGCATCATTCCCAAGAAACAAGTCATTATTCCTTTATTGACCCCAAATCAGTAGTGCTGTGCTGTGATTAGTCGCTCAGTCGTGTCCGACTCTTTGTGACCCTATGTACTGTAGCCCGCTAGGTTCCTCTGTCCATGGGGATTCTCCAGGCAAGAATACTGGAGTGGGTAGCCGTTCCCTTCTCCAGGGGATCCTCCCAACCCAGGGATCGAACCCAGGTCTCCCGCATTGCAGGCAGATTCTTTACCATCTGAGCCACCAGCAAAGCAGTATCAAGACCCAATTTCAAAACTGACGCCATATGCCAACCAGTCACTCAATGAAAATTAATTTCATCAAACAGGTAGTTTTGGCCAAAAAGAAAAAAAAAAGCTGGGTTGGGTGATTTTTAAAATGCCTTATTATAACAAGTGCTATATTTAGTGTTAAATAATTGATTCTTATCATGAACTAAAGTTTGTTCAACAAGCCCAAGGACTGATCCTAAAGGCCAGGGCATGATAAATACCTGGATAAATATCATTCAGCCCCACTGATAGGAGTCTGTAGTACATGGAGGGCAGATGTATTCTCTCCAAAGGAATTTTACCTTTTTCTAAAAAAAATTGTTAATGTATTTGTCTATCCACAAGTCGTTTGGAAAATGATAGGAAGCAGCAAGTGGAAAGGTCACCAACTAGAATTTATGAAAATTCAATTCTTGTTCCCACTCTTTTGGTTATCTAGCTATCTGACCTTGGATTCATCACATAACCTTTCCAAAATGCATATTGTATATCAATATAATTCCCTCATCTATAGGACAATTTATAAGGACATCTGCCCACAGGACTTAATCAGGAAACAGAGAGAATCAACATTACTTAATAAACGTGAAAGTGTTTGAAAAAGCAAAAATGTATTATATAAAGTCGACATTTTACTATTTTATTTTGGTGATTTTCATGAATCTGGTATTAATTCTTCTCTGTTTTAAGAAATAAAAAAACTACCATACTGACTTGTTCAAGATGAAAAATAATTCATAATGGGTATGAAAATAATAATGATCTCATTCAGGATACCGTGTGTCAGTGTATTTCTTTACTCGTCAGCAAGTGAGTAGAACAAAAAAGAACACTGGTTCAGAAGTCCAACGACTTAGATTTCTGTCTTGGCTTCACAACTAAACCAACTGCCTCTGGTGGGTGTGACCTCCGTGTCGGTTGATTGTGAGACGAAGGAAGAATTTCATTGACTGATGATACTGAACTCTCAAAGAAAAACATGGATTGATTCCCAGCGTCTCTGGTCTGATAGAGCAAGTTGACCACATGGCACTTGCACAGACAGCCCCACTCTTACCAGCTCAGGAAGAGCCTATGGGTTCCTCACCTCCCTCTTTTCTATGAAAGAACTGTCAGACAATATCCAGATGAGCCTAATAATGTAAAAAGATCATCTCAGCTGTGGGCAAGACTGCATCTCTCATACTGTCTCCTTTAGGGACTCTCTGGGTCTTGGGGAGCTGGGGACTAGACTCTAATTGGGGAGATATGTCATTTTGCAGGTGACTCCGTACCCTCTCTGTCCCAGGGAAAAGAAAAATCTAGAAAGATACACACCAAAATGTTAAAAAAGTGCTTATTTCTGGATGGTTGGATTATTAACTATTGTTTTAAACCTCCTTCTTTATACTTTTCAATATACAATGTGTATACAACATAGCTATTGCTGTTTTATAAAAAGTTCCCATAAGAAACTGCCTTGCTTTGAAAGGCATAGGAGACCATGAGTCTCTTCTCACTCAACTTGAACCATTAACTACTCATTCTTTCCTATAAGGTTTTCTATTGAGTAGAGTTGTTCAGCTCAATCTCCTTTACCAGTTCTTCTCTCAAGTTTCCCACCTCTCCGTTCCACCTATTTTTTTAGCCTCCATCAGAATAAAGATAATCTGAACCCCCACAAACAGAAAGTATAATGCAAAACAAAAATAAGAAGTTACTATACAATAAATTGGTACTTACTGAGATTTTCTGGAGAGATGCTTTGAGAGAAGACCAGGTATCCAATCTTCGATCAAGAATAATGGTAAATCGGGAGTCAGATCCATTTTGCCTAGAAGATAAGAGGAAATAATATGTTTTTCTTAATAGTAACCCAACTTTGCTAAATATGTCCTTACTTCTGATTATTTCATTTACATGTGACGTCTGGCCTGAAGACAGATTTGGGAAGCTATCACAAGGTGCTACAATGAAAAATCAATTTAATTCCATATTCTACTACAATTTAAAATTTCTTTTTGCCACTTATGTCAATCTTTTAAACATGTAAGTGCCACTAAAATGGATTTGGAATACTGTGATTTGGGGCATGGGAAAACATTATAGACAGCTGTCCTTCATGACATCAGATTTAACTTCACGGCAATCCATCATAAGTCAATGATCCATTAATTCATTCAGAAAAACACTGTTAAATTTCTTGCCTGTTCCTTGAGGGAAGGCAGCGTAATGCATAATAAAACTTTTATTTGCCCTAAAGAGACCACTTTCAAGCTTTAAGAGGTACAGTGTAAATTTTGTTTTCTGGGATTTGATTTTTGTTCGTGCGTGCTTAGTCACATCAGTCGTGTCCGACTGTTTGCGACCGCATGGACTGTAGCCTACCAGGCTCCTCTGTCCATGGGATTTTCCAGGCAAGAGTACTGGAGTGGGTTGCCATTTCCTTCTCCATTTTGTTCATGAGACTCTTCATAATATTACCATTTTAGATTAACATCTTCTTAGAATTCAGGATTAATAACCAGAAAACATTTCCTTTAAAAAACTTGTTTGCAAACTAAATAAAATCTTTAACGGAGCTTCTGAAACTTTCCCCTTAAAGCATTCTCATATCAAATGATTTTTAATATCAAGAAGTTACTCCTAATCCATTTCAATATCACTTTTAAGTCTATTTAACTTTGTCTTCTTATTTTATCATTGGAAGAAATGAAGAATAGCTGTCTAGCTATTGGCTAGTGACAGTTTCTTTTAGAATTTAAAGTATGATCATCATTTTCAACCTATGTTCTTCTGCATGGGGACAAATACTTCTTGATCCCCAATTTTGTTTTCATAGATCCTCAGTATGATTTTTATAGCAATTTAAGTAGTGGTCAGCTTCCACTTCTAAGTTTTTTCTTATCTATTCTGAAAGTGAGTCTTACAAATCATTTACAATAATAATAGCCACACTAAAACATCATTTTCTTGTTATTACATTCAAATAGGTATCCAAAAAAGAAACCAAATTGAAGAAAACAATGTAATGAAATGCTATACCTTGCAACAGACGTCAAGTAAGTCAGTACTTTTGCTATAATTTCTTCTGGTATGCATTTGAAATTACAATTTTCTGGAAATGTAATGATCCAAGCATCATCCTTTCCCCGGCCACCTAAAACAGTATCAAAAACCAAGTCAACATTTATGTCAGAACAATGTAAAAAAGAGGATTTTAGATTTGAGAGGAGTGATAAGAAGACATGCAACTTTTATAAGTATGATGACCTCCACAGAAACCAAAATGGCACCATGCTCCTGCTTAAGTGCAAAAAGTGGCAGGGTGGGGCACTTAGTCGGGGGCCAATGATTAAGGCTTCAGATGCAGGGTGAGAGTTCAATCTCTGATCGGGGAACTAATATCCCACATGCCATGTGGCATGGCTAAAACATCTTTTAAAAATGCAACAGGGTGGTTTTGAAATTGAAAAGAAGAAAGAAAGAAAAAGAGAGAGGGGGGAAAGACAAAAGAAAGAAAGGAAGAGGGGAAGGAGGGAGGAATAAGAGGCAGCAAAATGAGGAAAAAATGTCATGGAATGTGTATAATAAACAGAGTTGAAAATATCACTGATCCCTCATACTGGACAACCATGAGAATTGGGAAATAACTGTTTCTATACCAATACTATGAGTTTAAATTCAAAATGAGTCACTGACAGCTTGATAACAAGTGGAAACCTTGAAAAAATTGACCACTTAGAGTCATGGTGAACATGAAAGAGTATAGTATACAAACTACAGGGAATAAGTAATGTTCTAACAGAGTGGTGGAAGAAACAACATAAGGAATAATAGCGACAATGGTATAGGAATCTTACTAATGCAAAGAAAGAAAGACCACAAAGTATAAAATTCAGTGTTCATCCCACTCCACGGCCCTCTACACATCCTGGAGGATTGAGAATGAAAGCCACCTAAGTACAGGGGTGAACCTTCCATGTGCCTAAGGTCCCATTCTACAGTCAGCCTAACACCTGGGCACAGAGTAGGTGCCCAATACATATTTAGTGTTAAATGGAAGTTGAAGGATTATTTTAGGAGGCAAGTTGTAGGGTGGCCTTTGAATCTGGCTTGCTAAAAGAAAACTTTTGAGAGATTTTGTTGTAATTCTTATTTGGCTGAATTTAAGTGAACAGAGATATATAAAAAATTCAGTATGCAATAAAACTATGACAAAGGTAAAGGAGATAAAGTAGAATGATAAAACAACTAATTCCGAAAGAAAGCAAAAATGGAAGGAAAAAACAAAGGACTAACAGGACAAATGGAAAACAAATTGTAAAATGATAGATTTAAACCAAGCCATATGCATAATCACGTTAAATGTAAATGATTTTGACACTTCAGTTAAAACTTAGAGATAATCTAACTGGATAAAACAATCAAGATCCAACTATATACTGTCTATGAGAAACAGACTTTAAATATAAAGGCACAATGCATTAAAAGGAAAAGGATGGAAAAAGATATATCATGCTAATTAGTCCAAAGGAGACTGTCTAATATCAGACCAAATAGATTTGTCAAAATTAGAAGATCATTTGATAATCAAACGGTGGTAACTTCATCAAGAGGACATAACATTCCTAAGTGCTTATATATCTGATAACAGAGCTTCAAAATACAAGAAACAAAATGGATAGAGCTCCAAGGAGAAATAAACAAATTCACAATTTTAGTCAGAAATTTCACCACCCCTCTGCATAACTGATAGAAGGAGTAGCTGGGAAATTCACTAGGAAACAGTACACCTGAACAACAATTTCACCACAGTGATTTAAGTGATGTTTCTAGAATACTCTATCCAACAAAAGCAGAACACACATTCTCCACTAGAGCACTTGGGAAAAGGTCAAATTCATTCCTTGCCTTAATCTTTCTCAACAGAAACTTAAGGGAGGGTCCCCATTCCCATAGTACTTTTTTAATCAGACTAGACCAAAGTAATGAATCAAACTAGACCAAAATAATAAATCAAATGATGATAAATCTTTACAACATTCTAGACGTAAAGAGCAAGATGAAGAAAGATAATCATGGAAAATGATGGCATCCACCCAAGAATTTTAAAGGAACTCAAAGGAGACACTGTACAACTATGAACCAAGAGACTTAGCCAAGCATGAAACAAGGGGCCTCTATAGATAGGGTATGGTGTAGAACTAGAAATAAAAATAATATATAACATATAATGCAACATATATAGAAGTTAGACTTGCCGAGCAGTATTTAGGCAAACTATACCTATCAAAGGAAAGAATGTTGGTTCTTATAAGGGTAGATTCTCATCAACTAATCAATAAACTGTTATCACCACTGAGTACCCACAAATGTTGCTGCTGCTGTTGTTGTTTAGTCGCTAAGTCATGTCCGATTCTTTGCGACCCCATAGACCACAGTCCACCAGGCTCCACTGTCCATGGGATTTTCCAGGCAAGAATACTGGAGTGGGTTGCCATTTCCTTCTCCAGGGGGTCTTCCCTTATCAGGGATCGAACCCACATCTCCTGCACTGGCAGGCAGGTTCTTTACCACTGAGCCGCCAGGGAAGCACAAGTGCTGTATGTACTAGGTAGTAGACATGTGAGAAAAGAAAGGAGATACTGATATTCTAAATAGGGAGGTTTTTGTTATTTTTAACATTGGGAACCTTTTCTTCAAAAGAAACGATAGACAAGACGTATTTTGAAAACTACAAAGATCAGATAAGAAAGGAAATTATGGACAGGGATCTAGATAGGGAAACAGGTCCCGAGGGTGTTCCTATTTGAACACAATTTTAAAAACACTGAGGAGCTTCTGCAAAATCCCTTAATCTAATAGTGAAAGCCTATCACACAATTATACCACTTATAAAATAAAAACATAAAACCTCATTAAGTCACCACTAATTCACAATTACTGCTAATTCTAATCATTAAAGCAGAAGCCAGATGGAAGTGTCCAATTAGGATCATCTATAAAGTAAATGCTCATTTGGTAAACCAAGCACGTAGGTATCATTTTAGGAGAAATAATTTAACTACTTAAAAGGAATAAGATGGTCTCTTGTACTCTCAACACCTAAGAAGCATTTTCATACAAACAACACATATACTTGTAAACTGTTCTTATCCATTTAATACAATAAATATAATGTTTAATGGCATAGTTCAAGTTACTCTAACACCTGAAATGAATTTGCTTGTCCTTAAGCAAAGTTTCCCCTAGATATCTGACCAGATTAAAACAAGAGGGGTGGTTTCCTATTGCTGTATCTCTAAAAATATGTAATGCAAATGAGCAGTTTTATTCACAAGAGCCAAAAGGTGCAAGCAACCCAAATGTCCACAATGGATGAATGGATAAACAAATTAACTCATCATACAATGGCATATTCTTCAGCCTTAAAAAAGGAAGGAAATTCTGATATATGCTACAGCATTGAAAGACCTGGAGGACATTATGCAAAATGAAAAAAGCAAGTCACAAAAAGACAAATACAGCATGAATCCACTCATATGAGGCACCAAGAATAGTCAAATATGTAGATACAGAAAGTATCGATATAATGGTAATTACCAGGGGTTAAAGGGAGGGGGGAATGAGGGGCTATTTTTCAACCAGTAGAGAGTTTCAGTTTTACAAGACAAGAAGAGTTCTGGAAATGGATGGTGGATGCATGGCTGTATAACAATGTGAATGTATTTAATACCACTGAACTATACACTTAAAAATAGTTAAGAAGGTAAATTTTATATGTATTTCATAATACATACATTATTCACAATTTTTAGAAATACACAAATGCATGTACATTTTAGAAAAGTCAACTTTTTATCATATGTACGCTGCTTAATTAGGGTGACTCACAGCATTTTTAATGAACATTTAAGTCATCAGAGCTATGGCAGCAGGGAAAACCTCAGAGAAATCTGTGGCCGCCCTCTCACTCAGCCTGCACCCACCTAAGGAGATGGATCCCACTTTCACTCATCATGGATTGCTAAAGATGTTCCCGAGTATCCAGTGTACAAGGCTGTTAAGCCTGGTTTTAATCACATATCTAAACATATTTAAAACCTCTAGTTATTCTCTAAATGTCCATTTCTTTAGCAACTACATGCACAATGCATAAATGTTTACTGAAATATAAAAATTATATAGCCACCTATAAGAAGGACCAAATTAACTTTGTTAATGGATTCGAACATGTATCTGATCTTAATATATGAAAATGCTTACCAGACAGGAAGGCGATGTCTTGCATTAAGAAGTGGCTGATGTCCTTTACACAGAGAAGCACTTCGTCTTCTGTGACAAATGAGAAAGGGAGAGAAACAATAGACACATTAGAGAACAGCCGGAAACACACAGGGGATTTCTTAGCATGCAGGAAAGAACTCTGGGGGTCCTGAAGATCTGCCTCCGCAGATGCAAGGCCGACCTTCTTCTCTTTACTCCTCTCAGCCACCTAAGAAGGAAATCACACTCTGGACAGTGTCACTAGATAAATAAGACCAGTTGTCCTCATTCTCAGAATCTATGCCTGGGACATAAGCTACTCTCAGTGACCAAAAGGCCAGGGGCAAAAGTTCAAACTCTAGGACATCCGGATTTATCTAAAGGGTAGGCAGAAATGAAGAGACACTGTAGCATAGTGTATTCTACTTCTGATAATGCCTTTCACTCTGCAAAGCTTTATTAGTGATTACAAAGCATTTTTCGGGTCCTTTATTGCATTGGATCCTTAAAAAACCCTGGAGAAAGCTATTATTATCCCATCTTACAGGTCAGGAAAAGTGTCAGAGATCGAGTATAAAGCAGTGGTTAAACATACAGCTTTTGAGTCCAAGAGACCTGAATTCCAATCCCAGCTTGCTGCATATACTGGCTATAAAAACATGTAAAAGTTACTTAGCCTCTCAGAGTCTCAAATTTCCTTACCTGTAAACTGGCCATAATAATACATACCTCACAGGGTGCTGTGCCAACCAAATGCAAAATAACTGGCATAAGAGTCAATGTTCCTTGAACAGCAGCCTATTAACTCATCTTTGACCATTAGAGGTGGGACACATCCATGTGATCTTCAATATATTTTAGTTGTCCCAGATCTTAAGTGCTAATTTGTAATGTTCAATTCTAGTGAACTCCACAGGGGCCCCAGATCAAAGTCCACTACCTGCCTCTGGTCCATGAGCCAGGATAACTTTTTCAAAGAAAACGGGCCATCAGACTCGGCTATTCTGGATCATTGGTTTTAATGCCTGTGGTTCCACATTTCTCAGAGAAGCCATGTTTTCCCCCTTGCCCACTGATACAGAGGGCCTTCAAAGACCTGGTCTCTGGTGGTGTCAGGCTGATGACACATTCCCCTTCTTGGTGATCTTCAGATCATAGCATGTGGAGGGCTTGTATGCAGGCCCATCCTGCTCAAGGGCATTGCACACACAAGCTCTCAAATGACCCACACTAGACAATGGAACAGGGGCTCTGTTACAGAGCCATACACACACATACAAAATTTGAAACATAAAGAAATGCATTGACCAATTTATTTTCATTTATTTATATTAGTTGGAGGCTAATTACTTTACAATATTGTAGTGGTTTTTGTCATACATTGATATGAATCAGCCATGGATTTACATGTGTTCCCCATTCTGAAAGATCAGTTCAGTTGCTCAGTCGTGCCTGAATCTTTGCGACCCCATGGACTGCAACACGCAAGGCTTCCCTGTCCATCACCAACTCCCGGAGCTTGCTCAAACTCATGTTCATCGAGTCGGTGATGCCATCCAACCATCTCATCCTCTGTCATCCCCTTCTCCTCCTGCCTTCAATCTTTCCCAGCATCAGGGTCTTTTCCAAGGAGTCAGTTCTTCGAATCAGGTGGCCAAAGTACTGGATCTTCAGCTTCAGCATCAGTCCTTCCAATGAAGGATGAGATGGGAGATAGTGCAAGAGGACTAGAACTTTCTCTGCTCTCAGAGGCCTGCACAAGTGGCAATGTTCTATCATTTAGATGAGAGCATTAGGCATTAAAATATTCCTACATAATAAGACCCAATTTCCTCCCTGCTCTGATCAGTGGAAATAACTATCAAGATAAATGGATAAATTTGATGTCAGGTGGCAGATCTGGAAACACTAATATCTGCAACCTGATTCTTCCCATACCATTCAGGCTGTTGCATAGTTACAGAAACTACATCTATTTATTCTACATTTTTAAAAAATCCATTCATGTAGTAAGAGAGGCATCAGGGCATAAAATAAAAGGCCGAGGGCTAGGAGTGGGAGGACTGGACCTGACGCTGGCTCGGCCATTGAGCAGCTCTAGGGTCTGGGGCAAGTCACCTCCACCCCTCACTCATTACCCACCACGGGCAATACAAGTGCTCCAAGGCTCCAGACATTTTGAGATCCAACAACAGGTAAAATCCACAGACAGAAGGAAAACACCCTGATGTTGCTATCACAAAATGTCTTCCAGAATTGTGCCGACAAAATCACATTTCAACACTAACACAAAAGGATAAAACAATGGTTACAAGAAACAGACTCAGGGGGATAGAGAACAAACTAGTTGTTACCAGTGGGGAGGAGAAAGGAGGAGGGGCAACATGGGGGGAGGGGATTAAGAAGCAAAAACCAGTATGTGTATAATAAATAATCAGCACAGGAAGTGCATCCAATATTTTATAATAACTTTAAATGCAGTATAACCTTTAAAATTTGTGAATCACTATATTTTTCACCTGAAACTTGTATTATAAATCAACTACACCTCAATTTAAAAAAATGGTTAAAAGAGAAGCTGGTACTATTAGGTTGGTCAAAAAGTTCGTTTGGGTTTTTCCATGGCATCTTACAGAAAAATCCAAAGAGACTTTTTGGTCAACCCCAACATTTTAAGGAAGGATCACATTCTCGGGTGAAAACAGGGTGAAGGGAGAGGAGATAGCGGGAACAGGAAACAGAAGCCACAGGGTTATCACTGAGCAGCTACAAAAGACACGGTGGGCTTGTTGCTGAGAACAAAGAAATCGAGTTCAGAGAAAGTTGACACTGAGTTAAAACCAACTTTGTATCTAACCTCTTGAATTTCCACACAGATTTCCCTCAGAAATGTAAAAATGAGAACAGATATGGTTTAGGATGTTATTCTTGATGACCCTTTAAACTCTTTTACTCCAGAGCATGAGAAATAAAAAGCCCAGGTCACTAAAGCTGGATCAGATCCACATTACAGCGTGCTCCTTGTTGACCAGATTTATATTTGATATAAGACTTGCAGAGCTGCCCCATGTGGAAAATTCAATTGCTCAAAAATGAAAGGCGTGCATTCTCCTTACTTTGGACTAGTTGTGAAACCCCAAAAGGACTGGTTGGGAAAACAAAACAAAAAAGCACTCACAGGATAAATTAGGAGATTGGGATTGACATATATACACTGCTGCTGCTGCTAAGTCACTTCAGTCGTGTCCAACTCTGTGCGACCCCACAGACAGCAGCCCACCAGGCTCCACTGTCCTTTGGATTCTCCAGGCAAGAACACTGGAGTGGGCTGCCATTTCCTTCTCCAGTGCATGAAAGTGAAAAGTGAAAGTGAAGTCGCTCAGTCGTGTCCGACTCTTAGCGACCCCGCGGACTGCGGCCCACCAGGCTCCTCGGTCCATGGGATTTTCCATGCAAGAGTACTGGAGTGGGGTGCCATTGCCTTCTCCGATACATACACTACTATGTATACAATCCTGGAGGAGGGCATGGCAACCCACTCCAGCATTCTTGCCTAGAGAATCCCGTGGACAGAGGAGCCTGGAGGGCTACAGTCCATGGGGTCACAAAGAGTCGGACACAACCAAAGCAACTTAGCACAGCAGCACGTGTATAAGATAGATAACTAATGAGAACCTAATGTATAGCTCAGGGAGCTCTACTTAATGCTCTGTGGTGACCGAAGTGGGAAGGAAATCTAAAAAAGAGGGGATGTATATTTACTTATAGCTGATTCACTTTGCTGTATAGTAGAAACCAACACAACATTGTAAAGCAACAACACTCCAATAAAAACTTTTTTTAAAAGGGCACTAACTCAATAGGCTTCCCTGGTGGCTCAGACGGTAAAGCGTCTGCCTGCAATGCAGGAGACCTGGGTTCAATCCCTGGGTCGGGAAGATCCCCTGGAGGAGGAAATGGTAACCCACTCCAGTACTCTTGCCTGGAAAATTCCATGGATGGAGGAGCCTTGTAGGCTATACAGTCCATGGGGTCGCAAAGAGTCGGACACGACTGAGTGACTTCACTTCACTTTAACTCAATAGGTAACTTGACGAACACCCTCGAAAACACCCTGATGGAACACTCTTCACTGAAAAGCTCTGCTGAAGAACCATGTGACTGCACAATCAAACACAATCAAGGACAGATTGAAGACAAGACAAAGAGTGCTTGTCAACTCGTTCAGTCCATACATTTAATCAGGAAGCAACAGAGGCAAGCTTTGATTGCCTTGGCTATCAATTGCAAACTCAATCTCTAATATTTCTTTTATAATATAAAAGGTAGTTGTGCAAATGAGAATACAAGCTCAGAATTCAAATATGAAGAATTTAAAAGTCCTAAAAGGTGTGGAAATAAATAATATATTTAGGATGGTTTGCAGAGGAGGAAGGTAAACCCATCCAATTAGTTGATTCATCTTGGTGGTATCACTTGCAGAAAACAAACAGAAAAAACACTTGTCACCTTAATACACGGTGCCCTTTATAGTTTTTAAAGATTTATTTTGCATTCTTTTGTTTTTTAAAAACAAATATTTCTTGAGCACCTACTAAGTGCCAGATTCTATTCTAAACTGTGGATAGATGTTCTGGGTAACAGTAAAGATTCACAATCAAAAAATTTTGTGAACTACTGGGGTTTAAGCATACTGCAACATTCCCTAGGAAACACAAACACACAGCATGCAACTCCTCCTTGGGTATGGGCTATGTATGCAGTGTTTCCCAAACCTATTCATTCAGGTACTTCTTTGGCTGGTTGGTTGGATAGTTGGTTGGTTGATTGGTTAGTTGGTTAGTTTTTTCCCTTCAGAGTAAAAGAGAAGACAAACAGAAAGCAACAGAGAGGTACACCAACTCCACGTAAAGAAGCACTTGTTTTAAGAGTCAGAACACCCTATAGACGAAATGACTGCCGTGGGAGCTAGAGAAGCCCTTTCCCATCACTAACAGCATTGAAACAAAGGCCAAGCAACTCTGTAGAAAGGAGACTAGAGAGAACAGTGCAGCATGTAGGTGAATTTGAGTAAATGATCTTTCGTATCCTACTTCTCCAAGAGTCTATGCCTCCATTAACTGAATATGTGCTACCATTCCTAGGCATTTAAATTATGAGTTTATTAATGACTCTTATAGGGAAAATGATGGTTTATTTGATATCTACAAGCATTCTCATTTGATAGAAAGCGTTTTTACTCCC